TTATAAAGGAAAGAGGAGGAACGGAACGGCGTAAACTATGCGCCATTTACACATAATATATATCTACGAGTGAAACCACACTTTCTGCTTTATGTGACATCTACGTTTCTCTGTGACGTTCCGAAATGTTTCTCGTACCACTCGATGATTTACCAAGCAAACATTCGATATCTACCGAACGTGTTTCCGACCACACGAATAAATTCATCGTCAAACAAGACGAAAGCTCCGTTGGAAAAACAACGTGTCAGTCGAAGAAATGTCAATCGGTGTCGTTGCAAATCGTAGACAGAAACGTTCAAACAGGGATGCATCGATAACACACGTTTCATGGATCGAATTCATTAGCACGTTCGCTCGATAATTTATCGACCGAGCTAACCGCGAAAACCGACGCAAGCCAAAGTCAGGGGTAATCGACACTTGCAACGATATACGACGCATGTTCTAACGAACGTTTTGGATTATAACGATAGCTTAGGTAGCATTTTATGCAATCCTTTTACCAGTGTTTCTCAAGTATAAAAATCGTCGACGAAAAGCAGACAGGAATAACATGAATATCTCTACACGATGTATGTATAGTGCGTGTGCTTGGCATTGAAATTCTAAGAGGTTAGGATCGCTTGACGGAAGACTCTCGGACGAAACTTCCTGTGAAACAAGAAAAGGGCTAATGCATAATGTAGAAAAAAAAAACACACAGGGAAGAGAGGTTAATTTATTTGCATAAGTCTGTGTTCCACAAGAGATGTCTGGAATCGATTAAGCAGAGAGTTACGCGCTTTTCAAATGAACGGATGACGGTGGCATGTAAATCATTCCTGTGAGCGAACGCATAGAATACTTCGATAGAATACCGGAAGTCATGATCTGTGTTGCCGTGTTGTATAAATAAGCGAGTGTTTCCTTAAATGTCTCTACCCTTCGTAGAGTGTTGAAATGGAATATGTAACGTTCAACAAATCTGAATGTTTTTTCAATATCTTCTTTTCCCTGAGAACTACTTTTTTTAAAAATAAAATTAAAAAATGAATAAAAAAACAATTGATTAAAAATAAAACGAACGGGGGAATGTATTTGAACATGTGAAATATTTTATTCATATGAAAGAAAATTACTCGTCTTTCAATACGAAAAAAAAAGTAGCCAACATTTGAATTTCAAACATTTCTGCCTAACATAGCCATTATGTCAACGTTTTTCCTCATTTATTGGACTTTTTTCTCCATCCCTATTCTTTACTTTGCCTGTGAAAGGAAAGAGAAACAAAAAAATAGTCCAGCATGAATTACGAAGCTATCATAGACGAGCTTTTTTTTCAATGGAAACCTATTCAGTTAAGCAATGTCTATGGTTATACGCGTGATCTGGTATGTAGGTATAGTAGCCGACAATGGACGCCGATCGCAACACCCTCTCACCCTCTTAGCCGATACGTCTTGCTGACAATTTAGCAGCGCCGATGCGGACGATACTGTCGGTATGGACAAACTGCTTAGAGAACGCGAGACGCCAGCAAATTGGCAGCAACTATGTCGCCAGATGTACCGTAAATTGGGGTTAATTAAAGAGGGAAATATAGCGTGGTAATACGGTCATGATACGTTTAAACGCATTCACATTCTTAATGGACATTGAGAAAGTTTTATGCACGAGAACTCTCCCTCGTAACTTTTAATTTCGTACGACAAAAATATACAGGGTGCTTCTAAAATTAAAACAAACGTAAAAAGTTACGAACCTAAAAATTATCGTAAGATTTCAACGTTACTTCAATTCAAGTCATATTATAATTTTAATCTGTACCCGTGGAGGCGCAAATGTCAGTAGTGCTAAGAATAAACGTAGACGCTACGATAAGCAGGAAATCACAAAATGAGTGTCACTCGCGCTTCAAGACTCATACATCAAGCTATCCGGTTATTCGTGCACACGCTATGGAAGAAAATCGAGATAGTTTCCGTGGGCGAAGTCGGAGAGTGTGTCTCTTTCTCTCTCCCGAGATTCCGTGAAAAATATGCGTGTCACAGTGTGTCATCGTTGGAACCTTTTCCGACACGATAAAACACGACGTCGCGAATTGCTCACATGTTACCGTATGGCCCTCTCTTTTTTACTTAATTCGCTCGCGATGGTGAAGCGCGTCGACCCTCTTCTTTTTCCATCGGCGATAATTTCCCTCGCCGGTGTCGGTCACACAGATACGCTTTTTTTTGTCACGGCTCCGCGCGCAACCGTATTTTACGTTCGTGTGTCGGTCCATCGGTAACCGAAACTTCTTTCTTTTTATATACGATTATGACAAAGAAAAATGAACCACAAAAAACTGCTTCAAACGTAAATATAGATAAACGAGAAATGTATAAATACAGCGTACTTGATTTAAACAATTTCAATGCAGTAACTATACTCCCGTAAGAAGACTTTTCCTTTATTACATTAGCGAAAATAATTAAGGGATTTACTGAGAGAAGTTCGAATACTTTAACAGACGGTAAGGTTAGTTTATGTGAGAAGATTTAATAATTCCGAACGATCTACTTTTGCACCTTTCTTGAGCGCTCCTTCCCTTCGTAAATTCCCATCTTCTGCATAAAATTCAACCGACAGACCATGAAACAAGCATCAAGATAAGTATCTCGGTCTCCCACGGTCTACCACCATTGAACAAGTATCGTTTGGTGCGGCGCACGGTATGCTTATTCTGTCAAATTATCAACCCCCTCTGAGGATTAAACTCGACGTCTATTGTGAGTGCCATCTGCTGAACAGTGGCAAAAGCACTCGATACAGCGGACAGTAGTTGAAAACTGTCGGAGAAAAGTTCTTAGAAGCTTCGTCTATTTACCGTCGCAACATGTTTAAAGCGCGCTGCGAAAGCGGTGAATTACACGGTCGTGTTTTGCTGCCGAAAAACACGAGGTAACGAGCGTCCCCGTTTTTTTTGTTTTTCCCTGAACTCGATACAACTGAATTTACCAGAACACATAGTATCAGTAAGGGAGGGAACGAAGTAAAAAAAATGATCGATATCCAGATCGACGTGTTTTTCATCGTGTTATCTGCTTCAAAGGGTTGTTGCAACATCGCGTCGTCTGCACGATATCCTTTAATGAATTAACACAGGAACGTGCCGATGGTGACGCATACGGCTCGAAAAAAATCGTTAAACATCGACTCTCCCACGGAGCCCATGCTCTGTGTTTGAGATAAATGTGTATTACACTTTTCATATCGAGAAGCAAACGTTGTGTAAAAAGCCAAGAGAGAAAGAGTGAAAGAGAGAGACGTATGTATGTGTGTATATAGTGTCTTTTTATGGAATGCGATGTCTTCAAAGTGGCGTATCCATTAAATATGTGTAGTACCGGCTACTCGTTTTTATGGCGCTTTCGTTTAGAAAACTTTGTTAGAAGAAGATCATTGTAGATATTTTATGAAGTAATTACCATTTTTAT